GTAACGCGCCAACTCTGTATGGAAAGAGTTGATGGATTGTGTTGTATGTAAATGCTTTTACAGGGGCAAGATAAAGTTCTACTGCTTCTTGACAAACATGTTAATAAATTTAATTGGTGTTAAAGTTAAGATTAATGATGGTTTGAGAACCAACCTGAAGTAAAGGGAGGAAGGAGAAATGTGGTGTATAAACGTACAGTGCCTTGCAGAAGTATTCACCTCCTACAAATAATATCACATTTTGATGAAGTTCTAATAATGTAAACAATATTTTTATTGAACTTTTTATTCAAAACTCTAATAATCAAACTTAACACTGTTATGTGTGAAAGAGGTTGAAAGTCATCAAAACCTGGAAAGAAAACATATAAACTGAAATCTTCTGATTGTATTAAGTATTCAGCCTCTAACTCAGTACTTGGTGGAAGCACCTGTGGCAGACATTACTGCTGTGAGTCATTTGGATAGGTCTCTACCAGCTTTGCACAATGGGATGGTGTAATATTTGTCCATTCTTCCTGGTAAAATTGCTCTGATTCTGACAAGTTCATTGGAGATTGTTGATGGACTTCAATCTTGAAGTTTCATCATAAATTTTCTATTGGATTCAAGTGAGGACTTTGACTGGGCCACTCTAGGACATTCACGTTCTTCTTTTGAAACCACTCCAGTGTGGCTTTGGCCTTGTGCTTCGGGTCATTGTCCTACTGAAATGTTAATTTTTCGACCCAGGCTGACTCGAGCAGATTTTTCTCTGGGATTCGCCTGAACTTTGCACCATTCATCTTCCCCTCAATTCTGACAAGCTTCCCAGTCCCTGCTGATGAGAGGCATCCCCATAACATGATGATGCCACCACCATGCTTGACAGTTGGGATGGTGCTGACTGGGTGATGTGCTGTGTTGAGCTTGCGCTATATGTAACGCTTTAAATTTAGAACAAAATATCCCAATTTTGGTCTTGTCTGACCACTAAACTTTCTGATTCTTTTTCAGTAATAGCTTCTTTCTTGCCACTCGCCCATACAGACCAGCTTTGTGTTGGGACTGGAATTTTGTCGATGTATGAACATCGACTCCCATCTCAGACATCTTTCAAAGTCACTATTGGCTTCACAGTGGCATCCCTAACCAGTTTCCTGCTTGCCCGACTGCTTAGATAGGAAAGGCAACCTGATCTAGGTAGTGACTAGGTGGTATGAAGCACATTCCACTTCTTAATGATGGACTTCACCGTACTCAAAGGGATAATCAGCGACTTTGAAATTTTTTGAAAATGTTAAAATGTTGGATGAGATGCTTATCATAAAATAAATATGTTATGCAAATCTGACGTCTCTTTCTTTTTAATTTAGGTCTATGTTTAATTTATTAAATGTTTGTGATTATTGCATATAATTGCTCTGATTCCCTTTAATGATATTCTTCTTTTGACATCATTGTCATTTATTGCATTAAATTTCAGAGTAGTTTAAATCTAATTTATTTCAAAATCATGTTTCTATGTACCAGCCTTGAGACAGAGAGAAAAATATATTCAATAAATCAGCTGCTTTTTTCATTTTGTTACAAAATCATGTTTTTATATTTTGGTCATAAATGATAAAAACTGAGATATTTAATAGTCTTGCTTAATATGTAAGTTATAACAAAATATGTACAGAAAGTTTTACATTTGTCAACACTTGTCGTATGGGTAAGTTGGGTAGCATTTTGTAGTACGGGTCGAATCACCAAAAATTGATCTTGGAATTCGATTGTGGAAATTATAATAAACGAAAGTACTAGTGATAAGAATTTCACAGATTTTTAGAACAAAATATGAAGTATAGATATTAGGACCGATACATCAACGAATATGAGCTATATATATATTAGGAAGTGTGAAATAACTAGCACTGAAATTGTAAACAGAACATGTTAACAAGATACTGTTTCAAACTAAAAAATAGGGTAGTCTATTCGTTTTGGATACCGATTCTACACAAACGGAAAACTTCGCCATCCTGTAGTGAAACACACAATGGCGCTAATAACGTACTTCTCTAGACAGTTTGTTTGTTTTGAATTTCGCGCAAAGCTACACGAGGGCTATCTGCGCTAGCTGTCCCTAATTTAGCAGTGAAATACTAGAGGGAAGGCAGCTAGTCACCGCCAACTCTTGGGCTACTCTTTTACCAACGAATAGTGGGATTGACCGTCACATTATAACGCCCTCACAGCTGAAAAGGGTGAGCATGTTTGGTGTGACGGGGATTCGAACCCGCGACCCTCAGATTGCGCGTCGAGCACCCTAACTACCTAGCTATGCCGGGCCTCTCTGGACAGAATGCTGCGGTAGTTTGATTGTAATTCAGTTATATTTTTCTTTAACTTTTCACTGGATGTTTTTTATTATTATTATTATTTGTTTCTCTGCTATCTTTTACATTTTGTTTTCCCATATTGAGCAATAGTTGGCTTGCATTATTTGAGTAGATAATAAAGCTTATTTTCTTTAATATTGAAATGCGGAAGGTAATTATATTGTTACGTCTCCGTTTGTTAATTAACTTCCCGTAACTTCGTTCCGACGAAACTTTAGCGACACAAGTCCTTTCTTAATAAAACTGGTTTATTCTTTCCGAATATAACTTTACGATTCACTTAATTTCAACAATCGCGCTAAAACAAACGCTATAACAACGAACGTGCTCAACAATACTCTCTGACTGCAGATCAATTACTCACTGTCTATACACACATTATTGTCTCGTCACGTTGTCACCCTCTTATATATACCAGACTACCCTATATCTAGTAATCTCCCGACAATTCCGAAGGTTCGAGAAAACGAGTCACGTGACCTCGCTGACGCAACAATACAAATTACCTTATCGAAAGAAGTAAAGGGTTCACTTTCACACGATTTATGACTAGGGACGTTTCTCGTCAAACAACCATCTATTCCGAAAACATCTCTGACGTCATACACATTTTTTGCAGTTTTTCATGACGTTTTCATTTCCTTTCTTTTTTTGATCCTCATTTTCATCTTTACTATCTTCGATTAAGGCCAAAACGTCATTATCAATAAAATCCATATTCTTGTTGTAATTTGGCCGTGGACGTTTTCTTCTATCGTTTGGTGCATTATTAATACTTGCCAATAAATATTGTTACGTCTCCGTTTGTTAAATTAACTTTCCGT